CTTTTAATCTCCCTGAATTGAATCGGAACCCTCTGAATCAATTCAGAGAGATTTGGAAAGATTTAGAGATTTGAACATAGACACAGCTTTAAATGTTTTTTCCACATACCTCTAGGTACCAGGCAGCTTGTGAACACTGTGATGCTGGGGTGCATGGAGTGTCCCACAGAAGCATGGGGGGCTCCCTAGCATGCTCAGCAGTGGACCTGGAAGTGGATCAGAAGCACTTCCAGTTCACTTCCGGGTCCAACAGGCAGCATGTGGGGGTGCCCCCCCATACCCCGCCATGGCTCGGCAACTGGTGCCTCCTGGGTCTGGGGGGGTGCACCTACGGTCCCCCCGTGGACGATCAACAAGCCACAAGGGGTGTGGGGGGGGCTCCCCAGCATGCTCCCTGGTGGACCTGGAAGTGAACCGTAGGTGCTTAGGGTGCACTTCCGGGTTCACTGCCAAGCATGTGGAGGGCCCCCCCCCCACTCCTGTAGGACACTCCATGAGTGCCAGTATTGCACCGTTCACAAGCCACACTGGTACCTCAAGGTATGTAGAAAAAGCTTTTAAAGCTGTGTCTATGTCCAAATTGCTGATTCTCCGAATCCTCAGATTCAGATTTGGCTGAATCTAATCAGGGACAATGATCCAAATCCACGAATCAAATCACTGTCCCTGATTCGGGCTGAATCCAAATCAAATAAGGCCTGCTTCACACACCTCTAGTGGTTGTGGGCAGAGTTCTCCCAGCTGTCAGTGGGAGTTGTCTTCGGCAGAAGATCTTCAGACACACATTCCACGTATCTCAGCCAGTGAAGCCTGCAAGTACCCAGCAGTCTGCATAGACTGTAGGCTGGTCCTCTCAAGGATCTTGCTGGTGGTGATGTTGGTCCCAAGTGACTCCAAGGATTGTCCTGAGACAGCAAAGGTGAAAGCTTTTTAACCTCCACTCCTGTTTGGAGTATATGACCCAGATTTCACAATCCTAAAGGAGGTTACTGAGGATATAAGTAGCCTGATAGATGGAACCCTTTGTGTTCATAGTTAGCAACTCATTGTTCCAGACATGTGACATAAGTTTGCTGAAGGTGACAGAGGCTGTGCCAATTCTCACATCAAGTTTTCCATCAAGGCACAGTGAGCTGGTAAGAGTTTAGCTGAGATAGCAGAAGTGGATTACACTGTCCACAGCTTCATTATTGCCATAGATTTTTGGGTGAGATGTTGGTGCCCTGTAACATGACAACTGTTTTCTTGATAATGACTGCCATGCCAAACTTGATGCATGCATCAGAGAACTTGTTCATCATAATCTGCAATTCATTAGGTGAGTTACAGACTAATGCAGCATCATCTACAAAGAGCAGATCCCGGATTGTGAGCTGGGTGACATGCCTTTTGCTCTGAAATCATCTGATTTTGAACAAGCTGCTGTCCGTTCTCAATTCAGTTAGTATACCAGATTAATCATTTCCAAAAGTGTACTTGAAAAGCATAGAGAAGATGCCAAAGCCAGTAAGTGCTAAAACACAGCCTTGCTTCATGCCAGTCTCAATGCTAAACTCTGATGATGTTTCATTTCTTATTGGATGCTTGTCTTCATTCCCTCATGGAATTCCTTAAATAGGAAGAACACCTTTTGTGGATTGCAAATTTTCCAAAAGAATCTTGTAGATGCCATTCCTGCTAACCATGTGAAAGGCCTTTTGTACATCAGCAAGTACTACATAGGGGGTTGTTCATGGCTTTTCTCTTGCAACAAACAGTGTGAAGAACATGTCAGTCATGGAGCACCCAGCTCTGAACCCACACTGGCTCTCAGGGGTGACTCTCTCAACAGGGACTTGGTGTCTTTTCAGCAGGACCCTTGCAAGCACCTTGCCAACCACACTGAACAGAGATATCCCTCAGTAGTTGTTGCAGTCTGCTCTGTCCCCTTTATTTTTGTATAGAGCAATTACTTTTGCATCTATCAGATCCTGGGGTATATGGCTTTTTCCCCAATAGGCACAGAGTAGTGTTTGCATGTCACTTGCAAGCTTTCTCCCCACTACATTTAGGAGCTCCAGAGGTATCTGTCCATTGCCTGCTGCTTTCCCAGGCGCAATCTCTTTGACAGCTTTCTCTACATCTTCGAGAGTTGGTGTTTGGTCCAGCTCCTGCATCATTGGAAGCTGGGGAAAGGCAGCTAAAGCAGCATACAAGTACTAAATACAAGTACTATCCTGCTGCAGAGTAAAAAAACTCCACAGCAGTACGTGTATAGATGCTGGAGGGGCTGGCTGGGGCATGAGGGTGCTTTCAGTATGGGAGCTGCCTGCCAATTAGCCTCACCCATGCCCCAGTCAGCCTGTTCACTGCATATTGAGCTGCAGAGAGCAGCCTTAGGCTTGCAAGCTGACACCCAGGGCCCCCTACCAACTCGGCTGCTCCGACCCAGTTCATAATGCTGTGCGTGAATAAACTACAGAGCTTATTGCTCTGGAGTTTATTGCTCCCAGGCGCATGTTCAAACCAGGAGCAATACACTCTGAAGCAATAAGCTCCAGAGTTTATTCATGCACCTTAATTGCTCATGTAGATGTGTCCAGTGTATTTAATGAGGTTTCTTTGTATGTGAATATAAGATGAGAAACTGAAGTAAATACAGTAATCCTTGGTGTTCTTATTTTGTAGTAAAGCTAAAAGAAAGCTGAAAAGGCATAGGAAGCTATTCCTGACAAGTTTTATTTTATGATGTGCAGTAAATTTCCAGACATGTTAACTATAACCTAAATTATTTTTCATTTTGTAACTACTGAGTCCTTCTCCTGTTTCTGAAACTTCAACCCAGGGTTTATGAGCATAAACCTGTCAAGACATCCTCGTTCCTTATAAATCTCTCTAAATTTGCCTCTACTTACAAAGGAGCTCCTATTAGTCACTTTTACTCTGAAGATAAAGTAGATCCATGACCGAAATAAAATCTATGAAAATTAAGCAAAAGCAAATGACTTTTTTAATGTAATAAGTAATGTTGAGTAATGATGATTGTAAGTAACTTTCCCAGTGACACTAAATGCAGTTCAGGAATTATTGGAACTTAATGGGCATGTCTACACAAAATGCTATGTTGCCATAGCTCGTTGATACTTGTGCACTGAATGGGGCACTATCATGTAATTAGAATTATCATAACGCATATGCACAAAAACCTTACATTGAGATTACATGAGTATTCTAGAAACCTGCCATTTGAGTACTTGGTTTTGTAACTTTAACATTCTTTTCACGTAACTTTTTGCATGTGATTTCCTCAGTTTATAAAAAGTAACCTGAAAAGAAGAGAAATCCATCATGATCTCCACATGGTTCATCACCAGGGATAGAAACTTTTAGATCAGGGCTGTCCAACTGGTGGCCAAACAGGCCACATGTGGCCCCTAAGGGGTAAATCGCAGGCCCCAGACTCCTATTCCAGGAACCGCTCCCCCTTTTGCTGTTCCTTTCCTGAGTCTCTGGGCCCCCGCTCCCTCCTGCTTTTGCTGCTTCCCAGGTGTGAGATGGGACAGCATGGATATGGAAAACAAGATTCTTGTGGTCAGGGACCCCAGGGGAATCAAAGAGAACCCATTCAGTATAGAGGTGCTGCCGCAGTACAGCAGGAGTCCGCTGCCATGAGATGAGGGTAGAGGAACTATGTGGCATTGCATATCTGCCTGGTGTGGCAGGGGCCACATGGCACAGAGAGTAACATGATGCAGCAGGGGGCTATGTGGTGATTGGCTAGGGGTTCTGTGGTCCCCAGCCACTAAAGTTGGACAACCCTATTTTAGACCTATTATACAGACCTCTGCCTTCTGAGCTGATAGCAGTAGTAGGGCCACCACTAGAGGGCAATGAGGAACACATTTTGCTGACAGTTTGACTACAAGGCTGTTTGCTCAGAGAGAGCACAAGAGTGTGTAGAGGGACTCGGGTTTTGTAGCAAAATGGACTCCAGTACCTAAAGGCTTGTATTCCTTGAATGTCCCAGGCCCCTCTACTGTCATCACCCTCCATGGCTCTTCATCCCAGCCTCATGCCCTGGGCAATAGAGACATACCTGATAGAGTTTGCACTGGAGTGCCAGAATGGAACCAAGGATAGATGTTGCCATGAACAGCCACATTAGCCCTCCCCTGACCCACAACCTCTGTAGACTGATATAACAAAATACAATGCAGAGCCCTTAGTTTAGCAGCAACTACAGAGCCAGGAAAGGGTTAACCTGACTACTGGCAATGACAATTCTCCTTAGCAGTGGCATTTCCCCTGGGGAGTAAGGATACAGCTGATGAGGGGACTCAGCTATGTGCTGCTACAGCCTTGAGCCTGCCTCCATTCCAGCTTCCCTTTTCACTAAGTGAAAGGGAGTGCCCAGAGCTTCCCTTATGCTACTGGCTCCATGTCTCCATCTCCTTCACTACTGTGGTTTCTCATTTTCCTCCTTAATCTGGATCCTCACCCCTTAGCATTTTAGTCAAGCAGGTTCCTACATCTCTTTCTTGCTGGCTCTCAGAGTACTGAAGAAAAACATGATGAAAAGAAAAATCCCTGCATTCAGCTCTCATGCCAGGAGGAATAAGTCCTGCTTAGCTTCTGTAGACTCAGGACAGAACATACCTAACCTGAAATTTTCAAAGGACCATGAGCTGGTCAAATGTGGGGACAAGGATGGAATGGGAAACACCCCTGACAGCAAAGTGATGCCCCTGAAAATTCTACGTCCCCACTCCAATTCATTGAGCCCCCAAGGTCCCATTGAAATGGTTATAAGAAATTTTTACAGCATGTTTCCTTAACCTCTTGCTTAGAAATGTTTGGACCATGTTTGAAATTGTCTAACAAGAAATCTTGGTTAGCCTGAAACAGATACCTGGCATGGAAAATATCAGGCTTAACATGGACTCCCTTTGACATTCCTGAGGTTTGCTCTTTAATTTTCCTGCTTTGTTGTTGAAGTAAAACATATTTAGAAAAAGACGAACCCAAGGCCAAGCTGCCTACAAACCACTTCCGCATCTGCATCATCCCACTGGTCATCGCAGATAGTCCCCCACTGGCCAGCATGGTAGACTTCTACTCTTCCTTCATAAGCATTGCTCCCATCAGCCAGGCGTATTGGAATAAAGACAGAGGCTAAAGTTAAACACAAAGCAAAGGAAAATGTCATTTATTTCCAGAGATGTTATTTATAAGACATAGATAAATGGAGATAGTTAAGGCTTACCTGGCAAGAATTAAAAAACTTTGTAATCAGTCTCATTTCAAGATTTATCAAGTTAAAGAATAGCTCATATTGACAGAGTATTATTATACAGATGAGAAGCCATACTGAATTTACCTGTGTAATGGTATGCAAGTGCCTGTGCATTTACAGAAACTTAGGGCAGTCAGGAAAAATTCAGCCGTCATTCATGGGAACTGCACCAGTATAAGCAATGGCCACATTTGCTTCACTGACTTAATCATGGACTCAGTGGAAAATCCTGTCCCCCTTGAATGCAGTGAAAAAATTCCTGATCACAAGCTGTACCTTTCATTTGAAGTATTTAATGAATATGCTTTCCTCTAACCTCTTGGCTGGATGCATTCTTTGCTTATGCTGGAACCAACAGGCCCCCTCCTGTGCCTCTCCTTCAATGTCTACATACCTCAGCAAGAAGGTATAATGACATAAAAAAGACAAATTAATATATTTAACTTGACCTGCTTTTAGTGTTTGAAAAAGTTAACAAACGTATGTTATCTAAATGACAGTTGAATCATGACAACTGAATCATGACAAATGCATGATTCAATGCAGTTTTTGCTCTTCATTCAATTAACTTTTACCCTATTATCTTTCCATTTACTGCTATGCTGAAGATGAATCTTAGAATTTCTGCAGACTCATCTAGCCATTTCACCTGTCATGACATCAGATCGTATTGTTTTTTCA